CCAGCCAGCCAACCCGCCGCCGCCGTCGCCGTCGTCGTCGTCGTCGTCGTCGTCGTCGTCCTCGTAGTCGTCGTCGCCGTCGTCGCCGTCGTCGTCGCCGTCGTCGCCGCCGCCGCCAGCCGGCCAGACGGACAGCCAGCCTGCCAGCCAAAAGTCAACCAGAAGTCAACCAGGGCCCAGCTAGCCAACCAGCCAGCCAGCCCGCCGGCCAGCCAGCCAGCCAGCCAGGCAGCCAGCCAGGCGGCCGGACGGCCAGCCAGCCAGCCAGACAGCCAGCCAGCCAGCCAGAAGTCAACCAGAAGCCACCCAGCAAGCCAGCCAGCGAGCCAGCAAACCAGCCAGACAGCCAGCCAGACAGCCAGCCAGCCAGCCAGCCAGCCCGCCAGCCCGCCGGCCTGCCAGCCAGTCAGCCGGCCAGCCGCGGCCAACTAACGATTATGGTTGGCTTTTGGTTGCCTCTGGTTGGCAGGCACCCGCCAGCCAAGTTACACGGGTTTTGGCCCCATTTCCAACCAGAACGAACCACAAGCCAACCGAGATCGGCTTGACACCATGTAGGTGCATCTGGTTGACTTCTGGTTGCTTTCTGGTTGGTCATGGGTTGTTCTGGGCGTCCTAGCCGCTCACGTTACACGTGTTTAGGCCGCATTTCTAACCAGAAACCAACCAACTTCAACCGAACAGCACTTACACGTTGTAAACAAACTTTACACGTTGTAAACACGAACTCTGGTTTTAACAGTGTACAGCAGTTTCGAAGACTCTTATTGCTGACGTCCCAGAAAGTGTGTTCTGGCTCAGCTCATGATTTTCAGGGCGCGACAGTCTCGTCGATTCGCGGTGTAGACGTCCAAGAACTCGTGTTCTGGCACGAGTCAGGATCGTTTGGTTGCACAAATGGCTCTCGCCTTGACGCGCGTTTATCCGTCTTGCGACTTAGCAAGAGCTTCACCGGTGGAGGCCGGATCGTTTTAAACATGTGGCTCTTGCCCTGGCACCACGCACATTCGTCTGAACAGTTTGCACCACCTTCACGAGTGGAGAGCGGGCAGTTTTCAGAATGTAGCTCTCGCCGTAGCGACGCGCCACTACCGATCAAACTATCGATCTCACTATTATTCTCACTATCGACCTCACTGTCGACCTTGCTATCGTTGGCGCGATCGATCTACCTATCGATCTCACGATCGAGCTGACTATCAATCTCGTTGTCGATGTCACGATCGATCACACAATCGATCTCACCATCGATTAAAACTATCGATATCTCTATCGTTCTGTTGACCGATCCCACTAACGACCTCACTATCGATATCACTATCGATCATACGATCGATATCATTATCGATCTCACTATCGATCTCACCACCAATGTCAACATCGGTCTCACTGTCGATCTCACTATCGTCCTCGATATCGATCTCACTCAATCGATCTCAATATCGATCGTATTATCGATCCCACAATCGGTCTCACCCTCCATATTTCCACATACCTGTCAATCTCTAACACTATCGAGACCACTATGGACCTCACTATTGACCTCACTATCACGACCGACCTTTACCATCGACCTCAATAGCAGTCTCACTATCGATCTCATGATCGATTCAACTATCGATCGTACTTCAGAGGCGACGCTTGGGGTGAATCGCCCTCGGGGGGAGCAATACATGTAATATCCAGGGGCGCCGATGATCTGTCTTTGGCGAGGCTCCCGGGCGAAGAAGTGTGATGCCCGCCCCTGGGCTATTCGCCCTTATCGTCGCCGCTGATGGAGCTCACTATCGATCTCACTATCGGTCTCACTATCGAGCTCACCGTCGTTCTCACTACGAGACACCGACTGGGCACCGGCGGGACACCCGCGCGCGGGACACCCACGGCCACCCCCGGAAAACCATGCGGGCGCGGTCTTTTGGCCCGACGGCGCCCTAGCCAGAGGAAGGTTCTTTCCTCTCGCCCGCCCACGCAGGTTCGCCTCGCTCGCAGGCACGACACGCACACGAAGCCGGAACTGATTTCCTTTGTGAGGCTTTCCGTTTCGCTGCGATCTCCCCCCCTCACCTCCGATGAAGAGGGAACTTAGAAGGAGAGCTGATTGAAGCATCGTTGATGAGTCTTGGGCTTGCACTGGTACTCCTCCTTATCCTACTCGTCGCTGCTTGCATTGTCCTCGTCCTCCGCCTCCTCCTGCTGCGCCTCCTTCTCGTCCACAGTGTGGCCATCCTGAAAACGTGCGGTTCTCGAAGTGAGCCATGCATCCAAGCTGTCCCCGGGGCCGTCTGAAGCCGGCCTCAGGCCATCGGGGGGACCCGCTGGCGCCCCGACTCGCGCAAGGACCCCGCCTCGCTCGCCCGTCTCGCGCGCGCGCCGCCCAGAGCTGCAGTGCAGATGACGTCGGGCTCGAGCTTCGCCTCCCATACGGCTGAAGGAAAAGACTTTTGCATCAACCACGCTCCGACGACAAAGAGGCGAAATCCCCCGCTCCACACCCTGGCCTCAATGTCGGAATGCATTGCGATCGAGATCTTGGGTTCAGATGTTCTCCGGCCGCTCATCTCCGGGACCAACTGCTCAATACTAAAGCCGGGGGGGTGCAGGGGGTGTATTCGAAGTGGTCCCCCAACTCTTGATGTAAAGTTGTTTCCTTCAACGGTACCACGCTCAGCAGCACCAACACCCGCTTCCACTGTCGTCATTCTCGCACGCGCAGCGTTATAGCTGACCAGGACTGACCCGTGGGCTCCGTCCACGACATCTTTCTGGACTGGTCCTCGGAAGACGGCCTCAGAGGCCTCCGAGAGGACCGCCAGGAAGGCTCGAAGAGGCCAACACCATTGCTTCCCGAAATGTCTTGAACCATCTGGGCGCTTGCTTCAGTTCCGCCTTCCGACGGCCCAAGACGGCCCCCAAGATCGCCCAGGATGCCTCCAAGATGACCCATGACTGCCCAAGAGGGTCCCAAGAAGTCTCCCAGAGGGCCCCAAGAAGGCCCCAAGAGGGCCTCCAAGACGGCCAAGATTCCCCAAGAAAGCCCAATCTGGCCTCAAGATGTCTCCAAGACGGCTCAAAATTCATGCAAGACGGCCGAAGACGGCCTCATGATGACCCAAGACGGCCCAGAAATACCCCAAGAGGCTTCCAAGGCGGCCCAAAAGACCTCCAAGAGGACCTCCAGGAAGGCTCGAAGAGGCCAACACCATTTATTGGTTACAGGTTATATATATATATATATATATATATATATATATAGTGGGACGCTTTTGGCATTTGCTTCAGTTCGGCCTTCTGACGGCCCAAGACGGCCAAGGAGGCCCCCAAGATTGCCCCAAGATCGCTCGAGAAGCCTCCAAGATCGCCCCATGACTGCCCAAAAGGGCCCCCAGACGGCTCCAAAAAGGGCCAAGAGGGTGCCAAGACGGCCCCAAGAGGGCCTCCAAAATGACCAAGAGAGCCCCCAGGGAACCCAATATGGTCTCAAGATGTCTCCATTGGGTCCCTGATGGGGGCATCTTGAGGCGATCTTTGGAGCCTGTATGGCCGTCGTGGACGCGTCGGGTACGAGGAGCACGATAATGCCAAACATGAACGTTTTCCGAAGGAAACCAAATGATTGTTGCCTCTTGGATCTCTCCTGGCGGGTCCTCCTGGGCCGTCTCCAGAGACTCCTGGCCTGCCTTGGGGGCCTCTGGGGCCGGCTTGGGGCTCCCTAGGGATGCTCTGAGGCCGTCCTCGCGCTCCGTGTCGGGGCATCTGGGGAAACACCTGGGGACGCTGTGGGGCCGGGAGGGACCCGTTGATGCAGAAGAAACCCTCCTCCCTCGCACGAACCCGTCCCCGTATTGTAGGCGAAATGACGTTGGGGCTCCAGCTTCGCCTCCCACAGCTTGCCCAGCAGCGCGCCGGCTGCCACTGCTTGCCCTTCTCGGACGCGCTGATCCTGGCATTACAGCTAATTAGCCTAGTGTGGACCCGTGAACAACAATCCACAGAAGGCGACCTGACCTGATCGGAATACCCCTGGTGGCCACGAAACATGCAACGGTGAGGATCGCTTGTCTGCTTCAATGCCTGCGTGAAGACCTGCACGCAAGTTTGCTAGCCTGGAGCCCTGACAAGATGCCGCCTTATGTTGGGCGCCCGAGTTATCCGGGGTAACTCGGGTCTGGGGTAACTCGGGTTTGGATTCCCGAAAACGGAACCCGAATTAGCCCTGACCCGAGTTATCCCTGATGATTCGGGGCTCTGGACGCCCGAGTTATCCGGGGTAACTCGGGTCTGGGGTAACTCGGGCTTGGATTCCCGAAAAACGATCCCGAGTTAGCCCTGACCCGAATTACCCCTGATGATTCGGGGCTCTGATTATGCTGCGACTGCTTATTGATGATGCCGTTGGTACCTGCTGCTCCTCGGTGGCGGTCGTTGCCGCGGACTGCCGCGCGCTGCCTCTGGCTCCCTGGTGGGAGCGATCCTTCGCCGAACAACTGCACAAAGACCCCTCCCGCCGTAAATCGATTCCGCCCCTCGTCGGAGAATGTAAATCGAAGCCACGACGAGGATAGATTCGGGTGGGGATAAGCCGAGAATTTCTGAGATCCGGCGGCTCTGGAGGAAGTCTCGGGCGCCGCAGCCTTTCAGAGCGTTCTGGAACGCTCCGAGAGCGCTCCAGAGCGCCCTGGAACGGATTCATCCTCAGTCCTAGCCCCGTCCGACAGTGTAAGCATCTGCCGCTTCCAGTGTCGCACGCTCCGGCTCCAGAGTTGTAGCCGATGATGTCGGCGCCAACTTCGCATCCAATCCTCGCTGAGCAGCATCAGTGCCCGCTGCCAGCTTCGACCATTCTCGCTCCCGCTCGTGCTAGCGCTGTCGTTGATGCCTTGGGGCTCCATCTTCGATTTCGCCCATTTCCCGAAAGCATGCAGCGGCCAGTTGCCTTTCCCGCACTCGTTGACCCCATGATTGAAATTGAGCCTGCAATGCCTGGAGTAAGCCAAACATTACCCGTTGCCCTTGCCCGCTTTTATCGCAAGCCAGGATCCCAGCGCTGCAGCTGATGGCGGTGGGCACCAGTCTCGCCTCCCACATCTTGCTGAGCAGCGACAGAGCCCGCTGCCATTGCCTGCCTTTCTCGCACGCGCTGATCCCAGCGCTGCAGCTGATGACGTCGGGATCCAGCTTCGCCTCCCGCATCTCGCTCAGAAGTGCCAGCGCCGGCTGCCACTGCCCGCCCTTCTCGCACGCGCTGACACCAGCGCTGTAACTGACTAGGGCTGACCCGTGGACTCCGTCCACGACATCAGCTCGACGTGGCGAGGGGTCTCTGGGCAAGCGCGGGGGGGTGCGGCTGCAGGGCCGAAAGGCAATCATGATGGCGTCGGGCTCCAGCTTGGCTTTCCACATCTCGCAGTGCAGCGCCAGGCCCCGCCACTGCTGCTTCCTTCCCCTCCTCCTCCTCCTCCTCCTCTTCCACCTTCTTCTCCTCTTTCGCTGGATTCTCCATGCCCTCGGTCGGCAATCGTCGATCCTACGACGACTCTCCCCAACAGAGAAACATCGAAGGCCCTCGGAGCGTCCAACATTGTTCTTTTGTGCCTTCGATATGCCGGTCGCCTCTCGTCCGCTCCCCCCCTCCTGGAAGCAATTCTGAGGCCACTTAGGGCTTCGTGGGGGCCGTTTGGGGATCTCTTGGGGCGTTTTTGCCTGCGATATGCCTGTCGCCTCTCGTCCGCTCCCCCGCTCCTGGAGGGAATTCTGAAGCCACTGAAGGCTTCGTGGGGGCCGTTTCGGAGCCTCTTCGGCCTTCTTTTGGGCCTCCCGGGGGGGCTCTTAGGGCCCTCTCGGGCCGCCTTGGGTGCCTCTTGGGCCTTCTTGGGGCCGTCTGAGGCCCGCTTCGGCGCCTCTTGGGCTGTCTTGGGCCGTCTTGGGCCGCTCCTGGGGCCGTCTTGGGTGCCTCTTGGGCCGTCTTGGGCGCCTCCTGGGCCGTCCTGGGGCTGTCCTGGGGCGTCTTGGGACCGTCTTGGGGCCCTCCTGGCCCGTCTTGGGGCTCTCTTGGGGTCCTCTTCGGCCGTCTTGGAGCGGTCGGGGGGACTTCTTGGGCCGTCTTGGAGCGTCGGGAAGCCGAAGAGGCGAGGAGGCCGAAAACATAGAAAAACACAATAGAAATTGACATGCTGTCGCTCGGGGCCCTCTTGGGAGGCCTCTTGAGAGGCCTCTTCGGGCGTCTTGGACGCCTTTTGGGCCGTCTGGGGCGAATCTCGGGCGTCTTGGGCCCATCTTTAAGCGTGCCGGGGCTCTCCGGGGCCGTCTTGGGGGCTTCTGGGGGCCCTCTCGACATGTCCTGGAGCCTGCCTGGGCGGCCCGGGGCGGCCCGGGGCCAGCCCGGGGCGGTTTTGACTCAGTGGAGCCTGCGCCCTTCTTGCACGCACTGGGCCCTGCAATGTAGTAGAGATGACGTTGGGCTCCAACATCGCCTCCCTCATCTCGCTCAGCAGCACCAGCGCCCGCTGCCACTGCTCGCGCTTCTCGCACGCACTGATCCCCGCGTTATAGCTGACTAGGGCTGACCCGTGGACTCCGTCCACGACATCTTTCTGGAATGGTTCTCGGAGGAACGGCGCAAATTGTACCGAAAATCTACAAACACGGCGGCGGCTCGGGCGGCGGCAGCGAGACCGCGCCTTCGTGTCCGAGCTCTTGCAGCGCTCCAGCAGCTTGGCCCAGCGCACTGCTCGTTCACCCCCCTCCTATTGAGGACAGTTTCGAAGTCTCTCGGGGATGTGCGTCGAAGTCGAAGCCCATCTGAGGCGTCTCAGGAGCGCTCGGGGAAGGGCTCGGGAGGCCATCGGGGAAAGCCACCGAAAGCGCCGGGGAGGCTCGCAAGGATCTACAGGGAGGGCCCAAGAGAGCTTCAAGAAAATTTGAAATTCTGTAAAATCTTTAGAGAAACCGCTGTTGGGTCGGCCATCACCTCCGGGCGCGCCTTGATGGTGCGATCCAGTCGCATCACCGCCAACGGGAGGGTTTGTTCGCCATGTCCCATTATGTTCGCCCAGAGGGTCTGTGGAGGCCTTCGGGCGAACAGAACGGGACAGGGCAAGGAATGGGGAAGACTTGTCCGAATCTCCTGGGCCCCCCAGGTGCTCGTCCGAAGAATGCGGAGAGGTCCCAGGGTCATATCAATTGGCTGCTGTCCCAGGGGTCCGGTCTGCTTGGCCCGAAGAGTTCGCCAAGGCCCCTGGGGGAACAGAATGGCACAGCATATCGGGCAAAGGGGGGCGGTAGCTGGCCTGTCAGACCCGGCGTTCGTCTTCTGCCCAAGCGGCGCGGGGCCCACGGGCCCCAGGGTTGGCGGCCCGCTGGGTTTCCTCTTGTTCGCCCACAGGGTTGGAGGAGGCCTCCAGGAACAGAATGGGGCAGGACAATGAATGTGGGAGACTTGTCGCAAGCTCCCAGCCCCCCCAAGTGTGCGCCCGAAGGGTGTGGGGCCGCGTTGGCTCCCTCAAAGGGCCGTCTTGGAGCCGTCCAGGCCCGTCTTGAGGGCACCGTGTGCCGTGATGGGGCCGTCTTGGTTCGTCGTGGGCCCCTCATGGGCCGTCCGTAGGCCGTCCTGGGCCCATCGGGGTCCTCGTGGGGCTGTCTTGGAGCCGTCTGGGACCGTGAGGGGGCCGCCTTGGAGTCGTCTTGGGCCCCTCCTGTGCGCCTCCTTGGGCCGTCCTGGGCCCAGCAGGGGCCGTGTTGGCACCCTCTTGGGGCTGTCTTGGAGCCGTCTTGAGCCGTCGCAGCGCGCCTTGGGTTGTGCTGGGTCCGTCTTGGCCCGTCTTGGGGCCTTCCTGGGCGTTTCCTCGGACCCTCCCGGGACTTTCTGGGGCGTCTTGGTGCATCGGACCGCCGAAACGGCGGGAAAGGCAAAGGGTGTAACAGTAAACAATGGAAAATTAACGATTTTTGCCAGCTGGGGCTCTCTTGCCATCTTGGCCCGTCTTGAGGCCCCGACCGGGCGCGTCCTTGGGCCGTCCTGGGCGCACCCTCCTGGGGCCGTCTTGGAATCGTCTTGGGCCGTCTTGAGCGCGCCTTGGGCCGTCCTGGGCCCGTCTGGGGCCGTGTTGGCACCCTCGCGGCGGGGAAGCTCGGAGGCGGGCTCGCGGCCTCTTTGGGGCCATTTTGGAAGCTGTTGGGGCCTCTGTTGGGGCCTCGTCTGGGCTCCTTGGGAGCCTCCTGGGGCCTCTTTGGGGGATTCTTGGCGGCCCCTTGGGGCTTCTTGGGGGCCTGTTTGGGCCTCCTGGCGCCCTCTTGGGGCGGAATGCTCGGATGTGCGGTCCGTGGTCCCCCTCTTGGCCCCCTCTTGTGCCTGTCTTCGGGCCCTCGTGGGCCGTCTTGAGCGTCTCTTGGGTCGTCTTGGGGCCCTCTCGGGCTGTCTTGGGGCGCTCTTGGAAACCTCTTGGGCCGTTCTGGGGCGCTCTTGGAGGCCTCTTGGGCCGTCTTCGAGCGTCGGAAAGCGGAAAAAGCGAGACGGCCAAAATCCTTCCAAAACCTTCGTAAAGCGGATGATTTTGAGGCCCAAAACCGGTCAAAACCTCCTGAGGCGGTCCCCTCGTCCGCCCCCGTGGCACCTCTTGGGGACCTCTTTTGGGCTCCTGGGGGCCTCTTGGGCCTCTCTGGGCTCGTCTATCGCGCCCCTTGGGCTGTCGTGGGGCCCCCGAGGGCCTTCTTGGGCGGTCCTCGGGCCGTCTTGGAGCCATCTTGGGCCGCTCTTCGGGCCATCTTGGGGTCCCGTTGGCCTGTCTTGGGCGCCTCTGGGGCCGTCCTGGGGCCGCCTTGGGCCGTCTTGGGGCCCTCTTGGGCCGTCTTGGGGTCCTCTTGGGGACCTCGTGGACCGTCTTGGAGCGGTGTTGGATGCCTCTGGGGGGGGTTCGGAGCGTCGGGAAGCCGAAAAAGCGAGGAAGCAAAAAACCTAGGAAAAAAACAAATGAAAATCAACGATTTTGGCATCTCGAGGCTCTCTTGGGGGGCCTCTTGGGAGACCTGTTGGGCCGTCTTGGGGAGCTCTTGGGCCGTCTTGGGCCAATCTCGGGCGTCTTGGCCGGATCATTGCGCGTCTCGGGGCCCTCTTGGGCCGCCTTCGGGGCATCTTGAGCGTGTCGGAGCCGTCTTTGAGCGGCTCGGAGCCGTCTTTGGGCCGTCGGGGCGGCCTCCGGAGCGTCTCGGAGCCGTTTCCGGCCATTTGACGCTTTTTCCTTCCGGCACGCGGTTCCTCCGGCCATATAGTATAGACTAGGGCGAACCGTGGATTTCGTCCACGACCCGCAAGTCCCCCTGGCGCGCCTCCACGTTGGGCCCCCGCCCAGGAAAAAAACACCCCGAAGCCGTCGGTGATTTTTTCCGGCCGCCTTTCCGAAATTGGAAGGCGGGCGCTTCCTCGTCTTCGTCCGCCTTCCGCTCCACGTCCGCGTGGACAGGCTTCAGAGCGTCACAGACGGCTGTAGTGAGTCTGCGGTGTGACTTTCGCCGCTTGTCTGCATCCCCTGGGTTGAACAATTTTGAAAGCACCCCCGGCCTAGGAAAAAACACCTGGTGGGCTCTGGTGACTTTTTTCCGGCTGCCCTTTCGAAGCCGGATGCCGGGCGCTGACTTTTCCCTGGGAACTGTTTGGGGGCCTCTCGGGTTTCGTTTCGGCCTCCTGGGGGCCTCTTGGGGTCCTCTTGCGGCCTCCTGGGTTCCTCTTGGGGCCCTCTTGGGCCGTCTTGGGTGCCTCCAGGGGCCGCCTGGGGCCGACTTGGGCTCCTGTGGGCCTGTGAGGCGGTCTTGGCACCGTCTGGAGGCCCTCTTGGGCCATCTTTGGCTGCTCTTGGGGCTGTCTTGACTGCTTCTTGGGCCGTCTGGGGCCGCCTCGTGGGGGCGCCCTGAGGCGCCTTGGGGCGATCTTGGGGGCCTGCATTGTCGTCCTGGACGCTCTGAAAACGACAAGCGCGGGAATTGCAGAAATTTACGTTTTCCCCGTGGGGACTGGGACTATCTTTGCTTGTGCGGGCTCCGTCGGGCGTCTTCTGGGAGCCCACTTGGAGCGGTTGGAGGAGAAAAAAGGAAGAGGAGGAGGAGGAAAAGGAAAAAGAGGAGGAGGAGGAGCAGGAGCAGAGGGAGGAGGAGGAGGAG